GGCCGGATGGACGTCAGATCGAATCAAAGTATTTATCTACCGCGATAATATTATTTTCCAGATTGGAAATTAATTATCTGATAATGAGATTCATATCTGCAAGTGATTTAAAGCGCGCACTTTTTGACTGAGACAATAAAATATGACGGCCAAAATAACAATTTCACTATTACGCTCACTTTAAACAATCGGTTTAATTTGTCGTAAATTATCAAAAATTTGAGAAGAAAATGAGTAGATTTTTATTTCGAATTCCATCGCGAATTCTAGAGCAAAGTGGACTTTAGAGTTAACCAATCGAGTCAGCTTACACGTAATACGTTCGATACTCGATATATTTGTTACTTTCACGCATTTCACCGAGGGATTAAGTAATTCTGTATCAGGTGGATCTCTTGCTAGAAAGTGCGTGCCGTAATTGAAGCAGGTAAGCGGACGCGGCGAAGATGCGTCGCGAAAAATTCACGCTTTACTTTCCATTTTTCATCAAGAATAACGAAATAGCTTTGGAAAAAAAAACCACTCTTTTTTTCATCCGCGCGTTGAAGTAATGAGCCGGCAGTTTCTTCCGCAACTAATAATAGAGCTCGCGATGGCTCGATGGCGTTTCCACGCAGCCGCTTAATCCAACAAAAACAACCATGAAAAGAGTGCGCAACGGTAAAACGAACCACCTCGGTTCTTTTCCTCCGACTTTAATAATCGTATTGTAAGGATCTCGCGGGGGGGACACGACATCCGCGACGATTCGTCACGACGAGGGACGTCGTGATATCCGAGAGATTATTAGAGCTGCGGAAGATTACCCGTCGGCTAATGATCATCTAATTCCTAAACGGACGCAGCGACGCCTCAATTACTCGATCGTCGCATTATACACGGTGCGGCGTCATCGTAAACATCGAGGACTCACGGCGGCGGTTCTTCCAGATTTTCGCGACATCCTGCGTTTAGCGCGAGCTTTGATAAAAACCACTTTTCTTTCAATGAGTAATGATGGCGTGTAGGTAATGAAGGGTTGAATTATAACATCCTAGAGACACTATCCTTTGATTTTTAATTGTAACGACAGATTCTTCAGCGGACTTGAAGTCGAGTTTTCCTTAGCAAAAAAAATATCGAGACACCGGTTTTCGAATTATTTACCTCGATTTTCGCGAAGGAAAACTCGACGTCAAATTGACTTGAAAGAAATCATTGAAATTAAAATCGCGCGCCGTGGGATAAATCTAATTTATTTTATTCTATTAATTCATTTATTTATTTATTCGACATCGATCTTATTTTAAAAAGCCGTATATACAGTTCTTTTAAATTTCTCTCGGAAAAACAAATGAATACTTGTTGAAGCAAAAAGATTGAGATGCGAGAAACTTCGCATAGATTCGCATAGAAACCCGTTTCTCGATTCGATTTAATTTATTATTGTTTGACTAAGAATTAGTTTTTTGCTTTAATAAACAGTCGTCGAGACAAGCGTGTCGGAAAGATGCGGGAACTGCCGACGCGCCTCGCGAGAGATGCCGATGCATCTGCGCGATGCAGGTCCGACAAATCTGCAAACGGCGAAAGGAGGGCGAGCGTTCACGGTCGTGACGCAAACGGATCATCCGGTGCTAATATCGGTAGTGGAACGTGACGATATCCAGGAGAAAAGAAAATGCGAGAGAAAATCGAAGAAAGGAGAGAGAAGGAGAAGAGAGATAGAGAAAAAAAGAACAAATGAGAGAAGAATAGCGATGAGAGAGGAGCGATGCAGCAGGCCGGGGTATCGCTACGGACAATTTACCACGGCCTATTCGTCGGCTTTAATCGATTCACTCTGTACTACTTCGCGTTATGTTTGTCCACTGATAGTAATTCGCGTGAAGCGCGAGCGAGCGTTGCTTCTTGCGCCCGCATTTAGGCGGTATAAAGACGGCGAATCAATTAGTGGTTCCGCTCTAATCGGACACCTACCGCGGCTTGTCGAAAAAGCTGCGAGAGCACGTTCTCCGCGACGTAAAGCGAGCGTTGAACGAGCCAAGTCCGAGAAAGATAAGACAATAAAGAAGAGACGCGCGAGGAGACGGTGATGTTTCTAATTTTAACGTCCTAGTTATTTTTCTCTCTCTCTTTATTATGCCAAACCGTTTTTTCGTCAACATAAAATCTTCATTATTTATTCATGTTCATTATACTTTCATATGAGTCTCTCTCTCTCTCTCTTTCTCTGCTCTTCGTACAGCAATGCAACTGTCTGTAAATTATTTAAAAAGATTGATGTTCTTGTTAAAGCGCCGCGGTTGCTTTGATTACGTATATCAATTTGATCTTGCGCTCGTTCGCTACGCTATTTCGATCTATCTTCTCCATCTCGCTGCCTCGCTCCGGACCGCTATGCTCTCAAGGCGACACGTCCGTGGACAAACTTTTCTACAAAGTAAACGTCAAAGTGTGCGAAAATAGAGATGAAAAAATACGAAGAGTCGCGCGGCCTGAAAGAGCCGCGGTAGAGCAAACCATCGGCGATGACCTCGGCCGGGGAATTCGCGGGGAACGCGATCGCGGTTTCGGTCAACGACCGCTTTGCAAACGAGCGTTTTGTGGCCCGAGCTCCGCGGATGGTGAATTACGTGGCACGCGATGACATTATTTTCGAAGTCGGGCGGTTTTACGCCTGCGTTGCGGGGTCGACTCGGCTCGGCTCGAGAAGAGATCCGTTTCGGGAAACGCAGAATCGGACGCGAATCACGACGCCGATTGCGGTCAACGTGATCGATTATCGTGATTTGTTCACCGCAGCGCGGACGGTGAAAGGGAACACAAGGGAAACATTTTTTTCGTAAGATTTTCCAACGATCCCGCGCGTGCGGCAAAGCGCCGAAATGATTAACAATTACTTCGACTGCGATCGATGCTGCCGTTGAAACTCAAAATGCGAAATTTCGAACATGTCTCTGTGGAAGAAGGCTTCGTCCTGTTAGCGTTCTTTCCACGAATTCTCGTTGTTTTTCCTTAATTCATGCTCGAGTGACTGCTCACCGCAGGATGCAGCCAAGATCGAGAAAATACTCGACCTTTTTCTCGTAAGGATATCGCGGATTTTACTCAGCTGAAACCGCGCCGATTAGCGGTCGCACTCTTTACGGCCCCTCGCGAATTTATCTTTATACTTATCGAAAATATGACAGAGAAAATTTATTTAATCGTACACAAAGTGTCTCCAACAATCTGTGTCTCCGGAAATCAGTAATTTTCTAAAAATATGTTTCGCATAGAACGTTTCGCACCTCAATTTTTAATTGGTTTAAAGACCATTTTTCTTTAGTAGAAACGTCCAAGCATTACAAAGATATAACGCAAAAGATTGAGAAAAAGTATATTAAATAACAAATTACATTTTTGTTGAAGAGAAAAATTGTGCTAAAAAATAACGCGCGAAAAGTGGAACGAATAACTGTGCAATAGTGAATAACAATTTTTCGGGATATCGTTCCACTTTTCCATTTTTACAATTGCTCAGGACTTTGCATATCTATCTATGAGTAAAATCTGTGTGAACTGAGGTCAGCGAGCGATTATCTCCATCGTCTCTCGGAAGCTTTTTGAGGATTCGGGCGAGATGATAGCGACATAAATCGCGGTAAACGAGGTAAACGATACACCGTAAAGAAGAGCGGGACCAAGCGGAGGTGAAGAGGGCTATCGTTGGCGGGTGCATAGTCTCACGTTCCAGGAAGTTAGCAAGCGATGGATATCCGTACAAACCATCTTGTACCCTATCGATACAGCGTTTGCCTCCGCCTGCCTGCCCGCTCGCCTGATTGTGGCCTTTCTTTCATCTTTTCTTTCCGAGCATTCTGCTTTTTTTTCATTTCTTGCTTATCTTATTCTCCACTCCCTTGCTCGCTTCCTTTCTGTTAACAATCTCTACACGCGATTGGCGCGTACACAACTCCCTCCTTCGAAATAAATCTCAAAAGTTCAGCAAGATATAAATATTTAATACTCAACTGTTTTGATTTTTTTTTAACAGTAAACTCTACTTGCAGAAACTGACATTTTATGGGATTAGATCGATGCTAGAATGATCATTAATGTTTCGTTCGGATCCTTACTGATTTACATATCCCGTGTCTCAATTGTGAGGGAACACGGAACGGAATCATAAAGGGAAAGTGCAAATCACAGAGAAGTGAAAAGCCGCACAATCGCCTCGTGGCACAGAAACATTGCTAACGAGGCACCATGTAACCTCGTTTACAGCGCAATTATGTTACAGCACTCGATCAATTTGAATACAAATCTATACGCAATTAAAATTAAAAAATCTTCATTAGCGGACCAAGTTTTCCGGTTAAGAGGTCTTGCCCTTATTCCCGAGAAAACACCTCATTTCTAGAAAACATCTCGGGGCTACATTTATTCGTAATTGGAAGACATAAGCGGAAAAGTGAACAAACATGAAAATTATATAGCCATGTCAATCGAAGGAACATAAAACTTTCTAAGGAGGGTTCCTGTAATTGTATCTGTGGGTTCGAAATCGGATCTACAGATTTATACTTGTTACTCGGAAAGTCGTTATTCGTAGTTATGTCTTTCCCTCGTAAATCGTGCAATATATCTTTGCTACACACCACTAAACTAGGAATTGCACCCATAGACATGTACTAAAACCACCCAATAATTTCGCACTCGATAAATCTCCCGGCACAGTTTATCGACAAAAAAATTTTAGGGAGAAATATAAAGTTTTCGAAAGTTAATATTGGATTGAGCGGTGAATTCCTCCGGATTTTTTCTTTTATTTTTATCGAAAAATCAGAAAGAAACTTTCGGATCGATTCAAATAAATCATATTTAAATTTCAGATTGAATATATATACAACTTTGATGAAAGATGATTAAAGCAAAAAAAAAATAACGTTTCGGACTTAATTTTAAACTCTAAATCGGGCGATTCATCGAATATGACAAGGAAATTATTTTGATAAAGTGTTCTATTGAATTTACAGACAGGAGTACGATTGCCGGAGGGGGCAAGCGCGGCTCTCGCGAAACCAACAAAGTATCACTACTATCCGCACAATCAGCATATCTACCTGCTGCCGGAGTGCGCGGTTCAGCAAGTGTGCAATGCTGTTTATGTCAGATTGAACTTCACGCAACCGTTGTGCGCTTGTCCCGGAAGGTACCGGGACCCTTGCAGCGCATCCTTAGATAGCGATGACCTGCACACGACCGAGCTGGTCACCGATCCACGAACCAAGGTTAGTGAACAGAATTATTCAACAAAAAAAAAAAGATACTATCCCGCCGTCCTACTAAAAATATTTCTATCGGAATGAAACTTTTAACTCACAACTATTTTTTTATAATCTTGTAATTAGTGTTGCTATTCTTTGTTCAACTTTCATTTTTATTAACAAAAGAATTGAGCGTCAATAAATGTAAATGACATATATTAAATAGCAGTAAAGCTCCCGATCCGCAATCACGTTGGATTATGAAATCAGAAGTGAGAAATTGTCCAGTTTTTCTTCTGCATTATTCATATAGCATATTTTATCAGTCCATATCGTTGAGCGCGGGTAGTAATTGTAAGGAAAAAAATCACAATATTTCTTGCCTCTGATCTCATAATTAAACCTGCCTGCAATGAGGAAACAGCAGCCTCGGATCGTAATATAATGCACGATATGGGTATATTATTGGATCACTTTGAAATTATATGTTTGCTTATTAGGAATAAAAACGAACGTGCGTGCAATTGAAGGGATCGAGAATATCCGTCGAGGCTAGTAAAACTAAAAATTGCCGTTCCGCACGTAGTGTTTTATTCCCGGTGTTTAACGCGACGAGCTATTAGGGAAACGGTACCGAGGCATGGCGCCATTCCCGGTATGGTCAGCTCGGGGAAGCTCGGACTCTCCTTAACGCGCGTTTCCTGCCGTGAGAAAAACTTGCTCACTTTCGTTCGGTGTGCCAACCGTGACTTGCACACTGACGAATTGCCACTCGAAAAGACAGTTCGCATAAGGTCGCGCTTAAATAATCAGCGCGACTCGTCGCGAGCTTTCTCACGCGGTTTCACTGTTACAATAATGCCGTAAGAGATACAAATAACAACTCGCGATAAAAAGAGGATTTCAGAATTGCGTAATATTTAAAAAAAAAAAAAAAAACAGATAATCAATAATCGCTCGAGTTTACCACTCGGTAAAAACTTGGCATGGTTAAATTGTATTACAACGCGTATATATATTGTAACGGTATTAAGGGGAACATGATGACTTGTTGAAAAAAGTCTATAAAAATACGACGTCACTCACTCGTTCCAGGCCTTGACCTTAGTGAAAACGTGCGAGCCGGTTGCCGAGATGCGAGAATGCAGAGGATCAAGAGACTGGTCCTTATTGGCACTACAGAACGTGCGTACAGGAAAATCTCATTATCTTGTGATATGCCGATGTCCCGATACAAACATACTCGGTAAGCGAAAACTCCGAATTTCCACTTAATTAATTCAATTTAGAAAAAAAAAAAAAAAAAAGATCGACGGGTAATGCAAACTTTCAGGATTAAGAATCCGATTTTTTGTAAATTATCCCGTCGTGATAAAATTGTCAGACTTATTTAAAATTTTCTCATTTATTTACTGACAATTTATACATCGGACCTCTCGAAGAAGCTCAAGTTGATAGCGTATGCAACCATGATTTTTATTAATAATACCTCGTTCTATCGCGAAGAAGCAAATATTTACTGACAATTTATACATCGGACCTCTCGAAGAAGCTCAAGTTGATAGCGTATGCAACCATGATTTTTATTAATAATACCTCGTTCTATCGCGAAGAAGCAAATTATTTTACGTAATCATCACGTCGTACAATTTATATTCCTTTCGCAGAGGGGCCTATGAGTCACGATCAACCAACGTACGCGAGCGTTCCGGGCATTCGAGTGTACGGAATGATGTGCGTGCAAGGAAACAGAAGAGGACGACCGCTGCGATATGCGCGCAGTATTTTCGGTACGTGCCAATTCTAAATGTTTCTTAAAACTCTGCTCTCGGATATGAATTTCCCAACTGATAAACATTTGGTGTGTTGCCAGACGGACATATAAGGGGTGAGGAGGAGAAACCGCGCTTCCCTTGGCACAAAGTGCGACAGCTCATGACAACGCCGTCTCTCTGGGAATAGCTTCGACACGCGATGTCCCACTCCACATCTGCCATCGACGAATTTACACGTTAATTTATAATGCTATATTTATAATTTTCCGAGCCATTCAGACCACCCTTTGCTCTCTTCACTTCCCGCGTCTTTCTCACGCTTCCTTGATTCTCGGAATGAGCGCGCGCAGGGATGCGAGTGATCCGAACGATTGATATCAATTAATTCCGTCCTATTCCCCTGTTTCTCATTAAAACGCTTATTAAATTGTTTTAGCGTCGCCGTGCGCGGTGACGATTAGAAAGAGGAAGATTGATTTCGAAAATGCACGCCGGCACATTCGTTGCGCGAGAGTTACGATGCGATACGATGAAATCGTCTACGCGGCTTGTACTATCATCTTTAATTATTCATCTTAATTATTCATTGTAAGCATATTTATTACTCATGTATGGTTTCTATGTTATCCGTAATGTGAGCTATCCATTAATTATATACGATACATCGATAAACGAATTAGCGATACGATGAAGAAGACAAACGGCTTTGTCGTTTATACAACAATGTAAAGAGCTGTTTGATCGTGTGTGATTTTAAGAAAGAAATAAGGATAGGAATATATATGGTACCTGAGTCTCTGACACACGCACACATCATCCTACATCAAGTTTTTCTCTCATTACTCTCGAGTAAGAAATTGACATACATTTGTCAAATTACTGTACGTATATCGCACTCGCGCTTACTTTTCTCAATTCACTAGAATTCAATTTGTAGACGACCAGTGTAAGATAATTTTTTTTTTAGGCCACACTTTTGTGACTGCGAGATTTGAGGAGAAAATTAGCGATATATATGTTCAATCGCATTTAACGATATATATATATATATACGAGATGCATCTCTCATTATTATACGAAATGCAGTACAATGACGAGAACGACTGATCGGTAGTATTATTTATTGCGGACTCACCGAGAACGTCGGAGTTGACTAAAACGCTACAGCTGTACATCGCCGTCATCAATCGGGGATGTCGCAGGCTGAAGATCCGCCGACAAGCCTCTTTACACGCCGACATCAATTGACCGCCTAAATGTCCATGGCTCTGGCTACCGGAGTCACTGGAAATACGCACGTTCCAGATAAGTTTTCGACACTCGATACTCTTAATTCTGCGATAATTTCACTTACAATTTAAAAGTATAAAAACATTATGCTATAATTGCCAGACATTTTTTCGGGAAGCAGGCAATTACAATATATGTAGTTCGTTATATAATAGTATTTTTTAGCGAGAGATATCCATCCAAGACATTTATATCTACGCAATAATCATTAAAATGCAAATGTTCTTTAAATTATTGATATTCACCTTCGTGGAGCGTCAAAGATTTCCCACTTCTTCAAAACAAAGCAGACGCCCATCATAGGCTCCTCGCACAACGGACCAGCCAGAGTAGCAAGCTGAAATCCATTGACTATGCTGTTGTCATATCTGAAATAATTGCACAGCGAACATCGCATTACTATTATACGAAATATAAGTATTAGAGATAGCGAAATTATTCGATTCAGCCATTTATAAACTTCTTGCACAATACATTGCAACATTTGTCGTTACAGTGAATTTATATTGATTATGCGTGCTGTCAAGCATCGCTCTTGATCTTACTTCAATTGTACTTACATCGTACGAGAATCGTCGGTTACGTCTTGCTGTTCCCAAAACTTCTTCTGCTCGTAGTCAGTCTTGTTCAACAAAATATTAGGTCCGCACTTGCGAGGTCCGAAAGACCATATTTGATCCAATGTATTCTCCTTCCATCCCGCCTCGACGAAAGCCGCTTCCAATTCGCTTTTAAATACTTTTGCTTCCTTCAGCTTCTTGTCGGACATGGATCTTTCGTTCAGTTGATTCTCAGCAGAAAAATCCTCGTGCTCCCCATTTTCCTCCGTACATCTGTCGCAGCAGCTGTCCAACAGTTTTATCAAGTTCGCATTCTCCTCCAGTAATTTCGTGACTTTTTCAGGTAGCGGTTGCGCGTCGATCTCGAAGCGGCATTGCCGATTCGACGTCCAGATCTCGAGGCTGGCGCCTTCCGCTTTCTTCTCGATCGCCTCGTTCACCATGTCAAGCTTCGGAGGCGGCACTATGGTCTCGCGGAACGGCACGATCGGCTCCGACACGTTGACGTCGACCTTTGCGTAACGCAGCTTCAGGTCCTCCAGGCATCTCTCCAGATGTATTTCGCCGGCGGTGCTCAAGACGACTTCGCCGTTCTCTTGTATGTGAACGATGGCGCAGGCGTCCGCTTGGTTCAACAGTTTCAGACCGTTGATCAGCTTCGGTAATTCGTTCGGATGTTTCGGTTCTAGCGCCACCCTTAGGATGGGAACCGCGAGAGAGGTCAGTTCCGTGAACGAGGGACAGGCGATTGTCGTGGAGAGAGTCGCGGTCTTCAGCACGTGCTCCTCCAGACGGCCTATGCCGAAGACATTACCCGCCGGCACTTCGCTCACGGCTTCGAGCTCTCGTCCCATGAGAATGTACAGTTTGTCGACGGTCACCCTCGTGATGTGTCTGCCGGGTTTCAAGTCCTTAAGCACGATCGACGGATCCACCTCCTCGCCCGCCTTCTCGCGTTCCAAGGCGACGGCAGGATTGTGCTTCGGCCCTAAAACGAACACCTCGTCTCCGGTTTTCAAAGTTCCCGAATACACCCTGGCGATGGCTATTAATGTGCCGTCCGACTCGTCGTCGTCGACGTCCTCGTGCTTCACATCTTCGTCGTTATTGAGGTCGTTATCAATCATATCGCACGTGTTCACCTCGTGATTCTCGATGATTTTCTGCAAGTGCTCCGCATGCTTCTGTCGAACGACTTCTCTTCTCTGCGCCAGTTCCTCGGATGTTAAGGATTTCGGTCTATTCTCAGGCAACATGTCTTTCTCCGCTGGAAACATTTTCGATATAAATACTATAATCGGTACGTCCGGCGACGGGTCGCACGCCAAGAACGCCGCTTTCAGTCGCTGCGTTTCGGGAGGTAAAGCAGAGAAGTCGTTATTTCCGCTTATCAATCGTTCGATTTTTTCGTCAGTCAAATTATGCGGCGCCGGTACCTTTTCGCATACCATATCCAGACAAGTTTGCGCTAACGGAAGCCACTGCGAGCAAACGGCCTGTAACTGTGCTTTCGAATCGGTGTGTCTCAAGTCTCGCGTTGTTAATTTGATATTTAACTTCTCAGCCATAATCGGTAATTTTTCCTTATCTTTTCGTACCACTATGGTCTCGTATAATACCCAAATATTTTCTAAAATTAATTGTACAAAAAGTGGCTTCTTGGCCTTCTCTTGAGCACCCTTCATGATCCTCTTTGTCTTATTGTTTATATAAAAGTCCCCCCACAATGTTTTACGCAGCACCTTCTCGCTGAATCCCAGCTTGTTCGAATAGATTTTAGCAAATTCCTTTATACCAAAGCCCCAGCCGTCGATTGCGCTAGTGAAAAGAACGTTTCCTTGTTCCGGAGAAAAATATAAATTCGAATCGTCTATCTCTTCCAACACCGACTGCCAATCAGCCAGGTCTCTCTTATTTGCCTTGTCCGCTGTAATTGTGACTGTTTCCTCTCGATCTTCGCGTTCCATCACGTCGCTCGCAAATAACTCGCCCGTGATGGCATTTACTTGTTCCAAGACTTGCGTTAAACGAACGTAGGCATCCAACGGCGTCAATTTCATTTCCGTGATCAATCTGTCAATTTTATTAAGTACTAAAATAGGTTTCAATCCCTCCACATAAGATATTGATAGGGCGCTACGTGTCTGAGGACATACACCTTCCACCACATCAACTAAAATTATCGCTCCATCGGAGAGTCTGACGGCAGTCGACACCTCAGAGGAGAAATCTACATGGCCTGGTGAATCAATCAAATTTATCACATAGTCTGCTTCGTTGTGTAAGTGATACAGCGTGATGGAGCTGGATTTCATTGTGATCCCGCGTAACTGTTCATCCTCTCTGCTGTCCAGATATCGCAGCTTGCCAGCCAATTTGTTAGAAATGATGCCATTGCTCGCAACAAGAGAATCCGCTAGGGTAGTTTTCCCATGATCCACATGTGCCAGAATACATATGTTTCTGATACGTGTGGCGTCGCTTTGAATTTTGCTTAGTTTTTCAGCACTGATAAGACGCATTGTTAGCTAAATAATAAAGTAAAATGCGAAATGCTAAGCAGTGTATGTACAAATATATACACTTCTGCGTTATACGCGATGATTGATAATCAAGATTGCGTTAACAATAAACAGTGAGCGACTGGCGCACGTGGCGTACAATATACATACAATAATCTATATTTATATATATATATGGAATAAACTATCTATAAAAAATAAGTTAATCGAACCGATTCGCACTCACGTATATGCCAGTTGCAGTAAACACTATTTCACTCTATTCTGTCTCCAACAATGTGCGTAAAGTTTGTTGAGCGCGAGGATATGTCGCAGGTTGAACGGCCTCGTTGTCGTCGTGCGGAACATGCCAGCGGACATCGGTTATCGGCGCGATAGAACACACACGGGGAAGGGCGTGCGTACGAGCGGGATCTCTCGTACGTGAAGAATCTCTCCTTTTCGTTAATCTTACGTGCGATACGCTCGGTCGCACAGTCGACGAGCGTAACGTGATTGACACTTGCGAGGTTAGGTTGCGTCAACGTGACTCTGCGCTCACCGCTTTCTTTCGCTCGTTTCGCGTATCTCTACGCGATCAACTTTCCACGTAATTCCTATTTGCGACACGTCAATCCACGTCTTCGATTCAAGCGATTCAGGACGATATTTCGTATACACTGTCACAGATACAAGTGCTTATCTGTAAAATGCGCGGGTGAGAACGTCCATGTTGCTTTCTTGCTTGAGTGCACGGAGAAAAATGCAATTTGATTTGCGCAGATGCGCGGGAGAAGGAAAACGAAAATTATACACTTGACATGCAATTCTGCGAAAAGAAAAAATTTCTTATTATTCGCGAAATAGCTATTGGCGCAGTAAATTGGAATAAACGGCCAAGAATTTGATTCACTTATGGTCGGATAAATATAGCGTATGATTATGACAATGCTTTATATACGCTTGCTAAAAATTGCATCATTACTTGCAATCAATTATAAATAAAAATAGATCGTGCATTCTTCTACTCGATTTAAACGACTTGCTGTAGCCAACAACTTATTAAAACAACTTATTTTATTTACCTCGCGTTTTCTTACGGTCTTATACTTTACGACAATCCTGCGCATAGTTCTTCAAATAGTTGAAGCAATGTATAATTGCAATTGCTGTTTTTATGATTTTCATAAAATATCTTAAATGACGAAAATTTATCTTAGCTTGATAAAAATTTTAAAAAGTAAAAAGAATGATAAAAAATGCAGAAAACCGACTCCTTACTTGAGTTGATGGACCTCTATTCTGAATTGTGATATTACACACAATTGCCAATTACTGCACCCAAAAAAGACTTGTATCATATAAAAATTAATCTTATACTGCATTCACATTGCCTTAGTTGTCCACTCTACGATATCTGATATCCAATTAAAAAAGTCTTTTTAGGAACAAATATGGCGTTAGACAAAATCTCTAGAATATACATATTTCCTATTGGATATTGATATTTTGTCATGCACTATAGATGCACTGTGAATCTCCCATTAAGCTTTATTACATCCACCGATAACTTCATTATGCTTTATTATTAGAAATCTGTTTGCATTTTTGTGCTTTTTTGTGCATATCCTCTTAAGATGTTAATTGTGAAAATAAATCTCTTTACACTTTTTTATATTACGAATAATTCACAATATTATATTAATTTTATTATTGCAATCATATACAATACGTATAATGTATATGAAATTTATTGAGGTGTTTTCTCAAAACTTAATAGGTAGCGATTACAACGATAACCTTATGAATTACAAGTATAAAGGTATTTATACATCTTTTTGTTAAAAAACCTATTTATAATAAATTTAATTTGTGTCATTCAATGCATTTGTTTGTTTTAATATATCTTTTGCATTATAATTGAAATAAATGAGAATAAATGAGAATAAATGAGAATTATTTAAATAGAATTATTTGTAGAATTATTTAAATAGAATTATTTGTATTTTTTTATTTTTGTGTTTTTTTTTACTTTACAGGGAATCTAAATCAAAATTGTTTCAACAATAATAACAAAAATCACAAAACCGCACCATTTCTTAAAAAGAACTTCTATAGTAACTATAACAATGGAAAAATAATTGGAACAAGTGTTCTCTCAAGAATAATGTAAAAAATAGTACGCTCTGTTACAACAGAAACATTACAAAGGCGCATATTTAATTTAAGAATTAACTTGTGGTTAAAGTATCGTGCTGTGATGAGTTTATTTCGCCTTTTGCCTTTTTGCGAAGAGAACGTCCTCTTATATTGAGCATTGTTCTTGTCACTAGCCACACCGCACCCGTTTCACATGTGTAACGTAACGTATTTACAACGCCGATGATAAGAGAATGCGGCAGATATCCGGTCGTATGCGATTCGATGCCAATTGTCTTCAACGTCGCCTCGACAAATTTCTCCGGCGTAGGTGCCATCCAAGTTGCTCTCCTAAAAGGAAAAATAGATAGCGAAAATTCGTTAAAACTGTTTAAAATTCTGATATATATATGTTTCTTATTTTGTAATGAATTAATTGTGAACAAATTCATACTTTATCTTGGACATTTTTGTAGCGACCGGTCCTGGAAGGATGCATTGAACAGTTACGCCTCTTGGTGCCGCTTCCGCGGCTAAGTCAGCGCTGAGCTTGGCAATGTACGCTTTACTAGCTGCATAGACTGACAAATATGGACTTGGGATAGCTGCAGTTGTCGAACTGACATTAACGACCACTCCTTTTCGTCGTTCCATCATACCAGGCAATATTGTCCTTGCAACCCCAGTCACGCCGGCTACATTGAGCTGCAATATTCTTGCAAGGACATCCTCCGATACATGCGTAAATAGCTCGGGATAGTCGTAACTTGCGCCGGCGTTGTTAATGAGGACACCAACCTGTTAAAAATATCTCTTGGTTATATTTCCTCGCGTTATTTTTTTTTTTAAATGAAAGTAAATAATTTTTAAGAAATTTTATAAGAGTTGGTCTCTCTTATTCGAAGGAAGGTAATTTCCTTTTTTTATCTTTATTAATTATATCTTCAGTTAATTACTTATTGATTACTTTTACTGATTACCTGTTTTTATTAATTTGTGTTAGATAAGAAATAATATTGGATTTTTTGTTAGAATTATAAGATATAGTAAATTCGTTGAAATTAATGTTAAATTTCTTACCTCCAGGTCCTGTGTCGTTTTGGCGATTTCCGCGTAAACCACTTGGCCCTCCGTTAGATCGGCTTCCACAACGCGGGTTTCTACTTGGTATTTCCGTTCAATTTCGGCAGCCGCGTCTTTCAACTTCGACATGGATCGCGAGACTAGGACAATGTCCAGACCTTTCTTGGCAAGCGCCTTGGCGAACGCCTTGCCAAGTCCGTCTGTCGCACCAGTTATTACCGCCCATCTACCTTGCGTTCTCAGGTCGATTGCGAGTCCAAGATTCGGAGCGACCAATTTCTTCCATATTAAAACAGCGAGTTTTGTAAGTATTCTCAAACCGAGCAACGCTATTATCACTAGCAATATTTTCTCCCAGCTGAGTATTGCCATTCTATAATGCAAATAATGATATCAAATTTATTTAATTTATTTGTTTAAAATTTAATATTGAGGTAAACGTAATTTTTTATGTTTTGTATTCAAGACAATAACTTGGTCGCATTAGAATTTTAACGGGCGATAAAAAACTCGTGTTGCTACGATGGTCGTTCGTTAATTAAAATTCGTTACAATCTACCAGTCACTGCTAGTTTAACTTTCAAATGTTACGACTTTATTTCATTATCAGTCGATAGCGTATTTATTATCTCATTGGCGCGTTGCGTATGCTTCTTAACATTATCACTTATCACGTGTTTATCGTTTGAAAAAATGATTTGCACTTGTATAAATACTTGTGAACTTTCTTGCATTTTAATCGTTAACTTTGATTTTCCGTATAAATATCTTTTTATTATGCAAATCTGCATGTTCGTAAACGTGCTATTTCCTATATAACTATTTCCTATATAATTTCATGCACTTAGATTTCTCTTGTTATATTTATTTTATGTTATATAATTTACTTTGTATAATATTTATGAGATAAATACGTTGACACACTTCATAATTTAAAAAACATTATATATATATTATATAATTTAATATATTATGTTTGTAAAAAGATATTATAAATACATATCAAATAAATAAAGATTAAAATAAAGATAAATAAAAATAGATAAAGATAAAAATAGAAATTGATTTTTTTTAAATAAGAAAATAGATAAAGTTTCTTTTTTTAAATTATTTAAATATTGCTGTATTTCTGAAACTGACTTTATTGACTTTATTTTATATTCATTTTTTTATAGTTTTTGTCTGTGGGACATTTTTTAGTGGACAAAAACAGATGCATCATCAAATGACAAGCGTAAAGATGGTGATATATTAAGTTTCATTATCATACAATGTAATCACTATACGATATCCTTTGTTTCGTTGAGATCATCGGTCACAGAAAGTCAAAGATCAGACGCAAGAAATAAACTTTTGCTATTGAAATTTTCTTATCTACACAATAATATTTAAAAAACAATATTTTAAAAATGTTTTTAAATACTTCTAATTTTTTCAAGTTAATAAAAGATACTGATTATCGCCGCGTTAACATGCACATGTTATTCTAAAATTTGCAAATATATTTCCGTGGCTTGGTAAAAGAAGTGACTATTTTTTTCACTATCGAATTTTTCTCCCCAAACTTTATAAACGAAGAATATTTTAATGCAAGAAATACTTAAACCTGTCAAACATTCGAGATGCTAATTAAAAACAAAAAATTCGCCACTTCGTCATAAAATACAAAAATTACTACGAGGCATGTCTAAGTATATATAAATATAAACTCGATAGTGAAAAAAATGACTTCACTTCTTTTACTAAACCACAGATATAATCAACATTATTATCATTACATTTGAAGTAGAAATTGATGTGGCTTCGGGAAAAATTGAGTAATTAACCATTGAACTAATCAATATTTAAATATTTTCCAGGCAAAAGTAAAGAATGGAATGGACAATCGTCCGAAATAAAATTCCGTCGTTAAAGTTCCATCGTGATGCAGCTTTCTCCAACGGTTTTATACTCGAATACACATCGAACGATCACACCGCGATACTTTCTCACTTTCTCACCTGTATTTGATCTCACTGACAATAGATTCTTCTGGTTTCAATCATCCAACGATGCTGCATGAACGGGGCGAATTTTCTTTATCGCAAAAACGGTACAGAAAAATAATATCACCCTTGCGATAAGTGAAGTCAACGAATTTATTAAACAACGATGATGTTATCACAAATGCGGAAACTTCAAAATTGAGGTGCCAAACGAATGGAAGACCGAAGGATGAGGTCGAGAAGAGGTTCGATAAGGAAATATATAAATATGCGCGGGTCAACTAAAAACTAAACGAAGCACATCGAAAAGTGAAGTTACCGGCGAGCGCTAGCTAGAAAAGGGGTGTCATTTGCATTGATGATACCCTGTTGACCGTCGACGCGATACTGCGTTTGCGAAAGCGGACGGCGATCGATGTGGTGTGCGGAAGCAGGATATCAGCATGTGCGCGCGCGCGCTTGCAATGTCAGGGCCAAAAGATCCCACCGATTTTCCCGCGGTAAAGCATATTTCAAGAGAAGAGTGTATGACGAGATATATATAACAGTATCTTTGTCTGAGTGGCCGAGCAAAAGGTCCGCCGATGAAAAAGTGGGGAAAAAAAGAGAAAGAGAGATTCTTTCTCTTTGACACACTTTGGACGCACAACTCGGCCTCCTTCATAAGTGCCGATAACTGTACTGTATTCTTATTTGTATAAGATTTAAAGATGCAAATTGTGTTTGTGCAAATTTAACTACATAATAATTTAGTGCTTCTCAATTGTATTTATATTGATTACCTTTGCAAACAAAATTTAGGATAAAATTTTGACCAAGAGAAAAGCAAAATTCTATCTTTATAAAATATTAACATGTTAAAATAAATGATTAAAAAATAGCTATCAATCTTTCATAAACTAGTAAAATAATTTTGCAGATTGACGATTGGGAAATCTATTTGATATAGTCTAGTTAATAATTTAAAAAAAAAACAGCGTTCCACGTCTAAATTACTTCCGTATTCTCAGAATGTTTTGTGTAGACAATATATTAGGTTGGTCGGAAAATAATTGCGGTTTTTGACATCCTACAATTTTACGAGACGTATTTCGAAATAAATTATTTCATTATATGTTGATTATATTATATATCATTCAAAAGCTTATTTCATGCTCTATTTTATTCTTGTTTATCATCAATTTTGCTCAATTTCAGACTGTTGAAAAATATGGAAAAACAAGATTTTCGGAAGATTTTTTTTACGAGTTAAAACTTATCCGAAGTGCAGCGCAAATAGCTCGAAGTATCAAGAAAATATGGGGCGAGGAAAGCGCTAACAAATGTACAGTATTGGTTAAAAAAATTTCGTGATGGAGACGCTAGTCTTAAAAGATCGTGTGGGTCGCGAATGACATTGTTTGGTGGACAACGATCAATTAACGTGGAGGATCCATTTCTCGAGCTCTCTTTTTGAGCTCTCTCTTTGATTATTTATATGTTCTTCGATTGTCGATTTCTTTAAAACCTTGTTTTCTTTCTTGTTTTCTTTAAAACCTTCATCCACCAGAGAATGTCGTCCGTCGACCTTCATGATCTTCAAGGCTAACGTCTCCATTATGATATTTTTTTAATCAATGTTGGACTGAATGTTGATTATCGCTTCTTTCACCCTACGTTTCCTTGATATTCTGTATCCTTTGCGCTGCATTTCAGTCAAGCTTAAACTTGTAGAAAAAAATTTTTCAAAAATTTTGTTTTTCCGTATTTTTTCAATGGTCTAAGATTGAGCAAAATTTATATTGTTAATAAACATAGATAACGCACGAAATAAGCTTTTAAATGATATATAATAATCAACATATAATGAAATAACTTATTTCAAAAAACGTTTCATAAAATTGCAGACATCAAAACCGCAATTATTTTCCGGCCAACGCTAACAAAATAGCTCTAGGGTCAACGTATCGATTGATCACCTTTCTATTTTAAATTTGATCACTTCAAAATTATCTTATTTCTATTAAGCGCGTTTATTTGAAGAATACCTATATAGGAAAGATCAAAATATTTAACGTTTAAGTTGGAAAACAAACTAATAAAAAAACAAGCTGATCCAAATAAACGTTTCAATACCTACCAGATTTTCTTTAACGTCCTTCAGTGTTACGTTAAATTCGATTCTTATAATATAAAACTTGATAACACATTCGCAAAATATAAAAGCTTCTCTTTCGCTTGTAGTCTTAATATGACGTGTTAAATTTTCAATTAGAATTAGCCGCAGTGATGGTTGTGAGAACAGAAGTTAGACCAAGTTTAATAGATTTAAGTTTTCGGAACATAATTATTCAGTTATGTTCGACGCTTTCGTAAGAAGAACATAGTCTCCAAATTATATTTAAAATAGTAATGATATTGATGTGTCAATAGTTCAAATCTAAGTGCCTATTGAAAACCTGATTACAGGTTGAAACGTTTGCTTGGATTAGTTTGTTTTCAATAAATTTATAAGCACGACCATCCAGCTTTTGGCTCTTTATCATATCATTATTTTAATTCTAAGAGACCTTTGTAATACAAATTATTTTAAACTAATATTCATCATTTATTTGGCTCTTTTATATACAAAAGGTAATTTTTTTTACACACATGTACATTTGCGCATTTATAGACACAGTTTATAAACAATCCTATTCACAAGTCAGAAAATCACGGATAACTGTTCCACACATGTCAGAATGGTGGTGATAATATGAATAACATGATCACTTTGTTGAAAATAAGATATTACAATTCAATATTTTGTATAGTTTTTCATATACAGGAAGAAAATGTATAGAAAAATGCAATTACATTACGTATCTTTACAGTTTGCAATTGCGTGTTTGTCTTTTGTCGCGTTTGTCACAGTATTTGGTCTGTTTTTCAAAATTCCATACAGTAATTTTATATGGCATGCGTGTAACGCCACGCTACTGAATACCGTGCTCGGATACGTGTTCCAGCACAATTCAATCACGCCTAAAATCGCTAATTTAAGAACAGTCTTGTAATCGGTACACCATGCGATGTACGGTAGTGCATGATAGTACCAGATGTAGAATTGATAATGCAACGATCTGCTGAACATAATTCCGATGAAGTTTGCGACGAAAAGTGGATAGATAAATAACTGACTTGCAACAGACATATCCACTTTTTCCTTCTTGTGAAACTGAGGCTTCAAATCTCTCTCCACTTGCTTTAATTTCGCATACGATTTCATGTAAGTAATCCACGTAGGCGCGCAATGAAGCAATACTAATGCTTGCAAAAGTAACAATGAAATGTGAAAGTATGGATGAATAAATGTATCTTCTGATAAAAAGCGCCAGTTTACAGTCCATCTAAACTCAAAAACTCTACCCAGATTGAAAGCACCCTTTATGTACGCGACAGAATTCTCCAGTAAGAACGGTAAACCAAGTAACAGCTGTACAAACGCACAGATTGATAAATGTATCAAGGTTTTAAACGTACCTAGATTACACAAATAAGCAATGAGTAGTGCTGGAGCAAACAAGAGTATATTCATCTTCACGGACACGGCGAGGCTGTAAAATATGCTACCTAGATACCACTTGTCGTCCAGGAACCAGTTGATGCTCATGTATAACAGCACCATCGCCAACGGGTCGTTGAAGAGCCTAAGAACGAATATCGAGTGTATCCTGTGGGAGGTGCAGCACATCAGGATCAGAATGTAGGGCGGCACCTTCTTGGTTCTTGCGTAAATCCGGAAGACCAGCGTCAATAGGACCAGGTACAACGCCGCAAAAATGTACTGTGCTAGTTTAATGTGCGTGCCGTTTGAGGTTATGTAATACAGGCCGGAGAAGGCGTAGACGAATCCGGCGGGATAAACCAACGGCCCGGTGTCACCTCGCAATTTCGAGTAATCCATAGTGCCGTTCAGAAAGCCCTCGACCTCCTGCATGTAGGCCTTCCAGTCGATTTCTGTGTACGGCACGTTCTCGATAACCAACACGTTTAGAACCACTTCGAAAACGAGAAATAACTTCGCCGTCAACGCGAATTTCTTCGGATCGGTCAATAGGGAAACGAGTTCTCGCCATTCCAAATACTTCCGTATCCAGTTTTTATTATTTTTTATCGAAGATTTGCCGGTGTTGACGTTGGATCTTGACTCCCTGCGCGGTGCCATATTGTCTAGCGATATCTATGCCTACAAACCAGCTATCTCTCTCGCAGGAGTAAACTTCAATTTTCCAGCTTCACTTTTCATCATTCGACTTACAATCTTTCTTGTATCTTTTTTTCACGGCGTAAAAAACGACCAATCGAGTGATGCGAAATCGTCGTGAGTCATCATGACGTCATGATTGATCTGGACCAATCGCTACGCGCCAGCTGGGATTTTAGGTTTTTGACAGAATGCAACGTGTATAAAGCGTCGAGCGCGGCTCAAACCGGGGTGGATGTATTGCGAGATATTCGTTTGAAAAATTGAGCTGATGAATTAAAATCATTGTGTGTTGCCGAGCTACCAAGCGGTGGAGACCTTGCATCGGAAATACGCGGATTGTTAGATCGATTGTGACGGTATGTAGCTCACTCTCTCTTTACGCTTGTTCCGAATAACCTACCTACGGTCATTTTGAAGTCACAATATTTTAGAATTTGCATTCTTTCAGCGATTTCCTGGCTCACTTATATAAGCTTTTGTTACCGAAAATCGCTGTTCTTGATATCCCGCGTAAGAAATTTGTGATACGTAAATTGGATTGAGTTTCTTTTAAAATATATAGAGCAGTACAAATGTCAAGGTTTATTAGATGGATTAGTAACGGAAATTTTCAATGTCATAAAAAATGCTTCTAGTCTTCTCTTGCAAATGATCATATTTAATGTATTATTAGTTTTTATTTATATTGGCATACAGAACTTGTACACTTGTGCAGATATTTATTCATGCATTTATTTGGGTGTAATAACAGTACTTTTTTTGCAGAGAACGGAAGAAAAGAAAAATGAATACTTTAGTGCCACTACTCTCAATATTTTTGGGAATTGTGTGTACTGTTACAGCGCTGAAAGAAGGTGAATGTGAAGGTAATGTTCTCTATGACTTATGTTTATATTTAAATTTGTATGAATAATTTATATGACATTTCTTACTTTCTCATGTAATTTTACAGTATGCGTTGCTGTCGTGAACAAGTTTAGTCAAACATTGACAGCAGATATTAAAGAAGATACCAAAAAGATTGAGGCAAAGTTTCGAGAATTCTGTAAAAGCACCAAATCAAAAGAAAACAGATTTGTAAGTATAAATTGATGCAAATAAATGCGAATTTCAAATATTTCTTCTATTAATTAGATTGCATAATTTAATTGGATCATTAATTTATCATATGCTTCTAGTGCTATTATTTAGGCGGGTTAGAAGAATCTGCCACTGGTATTTTGGGCGAGCTTAGTAAACCACTGTCATGGTCTATGCCTGCAGACAAAATATGTGAAAAGCTGAAAAAACGAGATGCTCAAATATGCGATCTAAGATTTGGTACGTATATAAAATTTTGCAATTCTTATTGCAAACATTGACATTCTGTGTAATGTTAATATTTTATTTTAGAAAAACAAATCGATCTCAATACGGTAGATCTGAAGAAGCTAAAGGTACGGGATTTGAAGAAAATTCTTAATGACTGGGAAGAGTCCTGTGATGGTTGCATAGAGAAAACGGACTTTATTAAACGAATTGAGGAGCTCAAACCTAAATATTCCAGTAGTAGCTCAAAGACGGAACTTTGAAGAACTGTCTTCAATTTAGACAAGCAATTATATTAGTATGGCTAAAATTCCTGTCTCTTCAATTTGCGGAGGAATTGTTTGCAGCATTTAGAAATGTATTTATTCGTGTCCGTATATGACTTTTGTAGCTTTGTGTTTCACAAAAGTTTATCTTCATTGACAGTCTCTTGAACTAAAACATTTAGGTTCCATTAAACGAAGTAGGAGATATTGTCACAAAACAAACGTTAGGATGAAGCAAACAATATTGAGCAATGAAAATTTTGTTAAAAAACGTTTGAAGAATTTCATTTCTCTCCGATGTAGCCATGCTAATAATGAATCTATTTTATCGAAGGTGCTCCATTTTTATGACATCAGCATTAAGTGTAAATTTATATATACAGCCTTTATACGAGAAATTATTTTCACACGTATTTATCTTCATTGCTCTTCCTCAGATAGTGTAGTAATTTGCAAATATGTCAATATATCCGAATATTTATAGACAGAGTACTAAAACGCAGTGTCAAATGATGTGTGTAAAGAGGTAGTTCATCAAACTGTGTTAAAATGAATTCTTTTTTAAATTGATCATGAAATGTATATATAAATTTCTGGAAAATTTTTTTAAAGACTTTGGTATTGTTAAACTATATCTCGATTGCGCGAAGTTCAAACAAAATGCCAATCTTTGAGATAAGAATTATTTGTATCGATATACACCAACTTTTCCAATTAAACGCGATACAAATTTGTCTATATTCAAGGTACAATATTAAAAAATTAAGGATTATGGTAAAAAAAGCATAATTAATTGTAGATAAGATATTGTCGCATATCTGAATGTATTACTCTGAATATCCCACTGAATTCTTTAGTTCACGATAAGACTGCGTAATTGCGTTTTCTATACATTACATTTGTGAATCTTGATACGAGAGATTAGAAGGAAATAAAAAGCATATGTGTTGTTACAAAAGTAGAAACGTCGTTTTACTGTGAACTATTGCAAAACTTTGCGCTGAATCCTTCGCGATGCGTAATAATGACGTGTCTTTACTTCAGTTACACTTCGGTAACTCGTTCCATTTCCCATCGGCTCGACACGTGATCATTCCCTGCTTTTTACCGTTAGGGCACACGTACGTCAACTGATCTTGAAACAGATACGAACGGCCATGGAGTACGATTCCCTGCTGAAGCTGCGGTCTACCGCACGATATTTCTGAAAATCGGTAACATGATTTAAGGCTGATTAATGATGGGATTGATAATAAATTAATGATAGAATAAAGCTGATAGATTTTTGCAATTGTATATCATTTCTAAACGCACTCGAACATCTGCCATTTATTCTGGACCACTTGCCGCTTCCCAAGCATCTCAAATTTGCTTGTCCGAACATATGATATCCCGCGATGCATTGATAAGAGATCATGTTACCAAAAGTGAAATTCCGAGTTCGGCCTACGTCTGTCTTCGACATCGCGTTGGCGAAAATCGGCGGCTCCCCGCATGTTACAGCTGGAAAGAAATTCATATTTAGAATTAAATATTCAATTTTTCTAGTTCGCGATGTTGAGAAACAACGTACGTTTGCAAGTAGGCAAAGCGGACCATGTAGCATTTGATAAGCAAACGGATTTGTCGTTACCCCCGAGAACGTATCCGTGACGGCATTTGAAAGTAATAATACTGTTCATCACCTTGCGATCGTTGATGTCTTCAGTGCTATTGTTGTTATCGATATATCCGTATTCCGGTATCTAAATTGAATTCAGTAAATAAAACAGTTGAAATTAATTATAAATATTTGAAATTTCAAACGCTATTCTCGAAACTTGCCTCGCAATTAAAATTCTTTAGCACGGCTCTAAAAAAAGCGTTTGACTTACTTCCGGAGGCGCGCACGATCTATCGCAGATATACGTTGAATCATTGAACAGCCGGTCGAGTGCGGATTCTTTTAGAAATGAATTCGAAACCTGCCAATTTGCGGTCTCGTTGCACATCCATGTTATATTTAAGACGGTCTCGTTTGCAATTAGCTTGTCCAAGTTCATTTGCGCGTTATTTTGACACGTTAGAATTATTCGTTGCCCGTAGCCGTTTCCCTCGACGAAGATTTCCAGGTTTTTGTACGTGTCCGTAACGTTCTCCACGCCGTTCCATTTCTTCTCCAAATCGAGCGACAACACGTTCGCGTCGTTTCCAAAGACAGTTTCGTTCTCCAGTTTTTTGAGGAATTTAAAAAGCGGGTTATCGCCGACGGAACAATTGCGAGGTTCGCAAGAAACGAAAGCCGATGACCAAATCTCTTCCTCGCTGCACGTTCTGATCGCGTCGCCGTGCAATTCGTATCCCGGATCGCAGACGACGACAATTTCCGCACCGGAAACGAATGTGTCTGGAAGGAACGTTCCTCCCGTCGCTTCGCTTTCATTGTTCCCGGCAGTGTCATCGCCATCCGATATCGCGTTTCTTTCCACGGGAACTTCGAGCGTGACGTTGTCTCGTTTCTTGAGAAAGATCTTTGCGTTTTCCACGCGATTCGGCCAGGGACACACGCGCGGGACGCAATCGGGTACGAAACCCATCCAGGTGCCGTTTGTAGAACACTGCAGCTTGAATTCCGTCAACAGATTGTGATTGCCGCGGAACTTGTAGCCGCGATAGCAGGAGAAGCCAATGATATCATCGTAATGATACGTTTTTCTCGATAGCTCGTCGATTGTATTTTCCTCGGGATCGGAAGTCCGGTTAAAATTGTCGCTATCCGGAAAGACGATGTAGCCGTGTTCTATTCTATATTCAAAATATATAATTTTTAAAAATCTTCGTTGAACAAAACTTGTAATTAAACAAATTTTTCATTTTCTTTCATTCTTTGCGATTCTGTGTGAACAATTTTCCGCACAGCTCTTCAAGCAATTAAAGCAGCACATGATTGCAATTGGCGAACTATATTATTTTTTTTTTTAGTCTTGATAAAATTTTCTGGATAATAAAAATTGATTGTTACATTTGTCTTGGCGTGATATCGTTAAAAAAGGTACGAAATACTTAATATTGGCTCCTTTATCGCAAAGAATTAAAGATAGAAAGCTTCAAGTGGGACTCGATTCATAACTCTTTTGGCGGCAGACATCCGTAAAGTGTACAAGACGGCCTCTCGTGATCCCAAACGCCGGTCTCTAAGCAGGTCAAGTACCTTTCTCCTGTTAAACGATATCCAGGATTGCATTTGAATTCCAGTTGCTGACCAGCCTAAAAAAAATTGAACGATCAATTTAATATCTTACAATTTTCTTGCGAAGAGTAAGAAGCACACCTGCAATATCGTAACGTCATCTCGCTCGTTCTCCTCTAATATGTATTCTATGTCCCCGTTTTCTGGAGCCAGCAAGTTCTTGCATGTCGTTCCTGTTGAAAGGCAGAGCGATTAGCGCTTGAATTTCGTTGAATACTAACTTTGTACCGTGCTTGTATTTTTTTATGAACAATTTTTTTCACGTATAACGTTTTATTTTAACTTTATACCTATGCAGATCGGAGGCAGCCCGGTCCACTTTCCATCGGAATTGCAAATTCGATGTGGGTTCCCTCGAAGCTCGTAGCCTTCGGCGCAAGAATAATATATTTCGTCCCCGAATGAGTACGACTTGCCGTGGATGTGTCCACGCGGAAAGTATCCCGGGAAGCCGCATTTTATTTCTTGAACACGCAGTAGAATTGTCAGCTTTTTTAGCACGTTTGCGTGAGAATTATTTTAAAAATTAGTATTTCTTTGATCGAAATTAACATTGGATTTGCAGCCTTACGAAGCACGATTTCTCTTACGTATTAATAAAATCCGGAACTCACTCATACAGACTGGCGTGTCGTATCCTTCCCACTGGCCGTGCTTGAGGCACCTTCTTCCGAACGACCAATGCTCCTCGCCGCCAAACCGAATCGCGTATCCGTTGTCGCAGTAATACGTCACCTCTGACAGGTCTTCGCTCACGTTGATGTTGCCTCGGAAGGGTACGACGGGCAGCGGACAGCCGCGACAGAACGGGCTGGCTAGAATCTGAAAGTGTCGTTAGGATCATCGCTTACGATCCGTCGCTGAAATTGAATGGAAGCATAATCACCACGACGTCGCCGTGAATATATTGTCGCACTTGCGCCCAGGCCACGAGACTTCCGTGATATTTCTCGCAGCTGTTCCATAACTCTGTAACGTTACTCTCTTCGAGAACGACGTCCCACATGTCCAGCAAGCCGAGCTTCCCCAGAAACGCTTCCGACTCGGAAAACCCGCCTCCCAAGCGATCCTGCTCCTGTCCGATAACGAGGGATCCATTGGCTGGGTAAAACGGTCATGATTTTAATTAAATTGTTTTCATTGTTCTACAAATTTGTGACGATAACGCGCGTTACCTTGTACGACAGCTCCCTGCGCTAAACGAATGCCGTTATCTCGAAGGATCCCGTCGACGAACACGCGCCAGGAGCCGTACTCGCTCTCCCAAGTAACGCACAGGAAGTGCCAATAACCGTCGTTGACTTTGACGTCGGTTACAACTTTTTCGCCGTTAACATATAGAACGAATCTGTAAGAATATATCATTTTTCATTGACAAACAAAAAAAAACTGGAAACTCTAGAGAAATGTAGCAGATATTAATCTTTATACATATCTTCTACATCTTTTTTAACTTTTTTACATTTTTACAAGTATTTACCCGTTGTAATCCGTCAGCGTGAAGGAGTTATCGTGAAACGCTGTCGCGTACGATAATACCGTACCGTAATTGAAGGTGTCCATCGATTGCAACCACAGACAGACAGACAACTGTAAGTAAAAAAATTCAGAAACGTCATAATTCTTTTTTGTTTAGACAATATGTGGTATTGTTTGATTGATTGATGGACCTAATCAGATCTCAGCGAAAAAAATTAAGCGTTCTAGTTAGTTCGGTTGCGTTTAATGAAGAAGACTGGAAAATAGAAAGAAGAGAATGATTAAGTCCTTTGAGCAACGTGCATCAATCAAAAATTCAACTTTTTGCGTTTATTATTATTTATTATACAGGATGATTCAAAACAATCTGATGTTTTTGTCGTATTCTTTTCGATTAAGTTATAAATCGAAAATTAAACTTTGGACAAAATTTGGAAAAGGAAAAATCGTCTTAGAAATCGCTCGCAAATATGACATTTCAAAAATGTATATCATTGATTTACCTGCGAAAGATCCTTTTCGGGTCCTTTCATGATGACGTAATCTGTCGTGCCGGACCTCGTAAAGTGCATCACATAATCAGCTGATAATTCTGCGTCCATTGAAACAATCTTTAATTAATATCATATAAATAATTATCCACTAAATTATGATCTAAGAAATTGCAGAAATAAGATTTTAAAAAATACGAGGCGTATTGATATTTTTAGTATTAAAATGTCAACTTGCCAATCTCGCAGTTGCGTCCTGTGAAAAGAATGTGGCAGTCGCAAGTGTAATTGTTAACGTGATTGATACACTTTCCGTTGTTTAAGCAAGGCAAACGCTCGCAGTGATTGATTCTGGTCATGCAATCCTCTCCTGTGTATCCGTCCGGACAGTCGCACCTGAATCAATTGTAAGATCATACGAGCTGATATTTTCACGTTTACAAAGCTCTTACAAACCTATAACTCTCTCGCGTCGCGTTCTCCTCCTTGAGATTCACGCAAATTGCATTTGCGGGACATGGCAACCAGTCGCAGGGCAACAGGTTGCAATGACGACCCAAGAATCCGGATTTGCAGAAGCATCGCCAGGTTCCGTTTACGGTGCGACACACGGATCCTTCCTCGCACGGCATAAGCTCGCAATGGTCCATAGAAATTTCGCAAAACTGGCCTGTAGAGACGTTCAAATTGAAAAAATATCACTTTGTTATAATTATTTATTTAATACGAAGAAAAATACCTTCAAATCCATCCTTGCATTCGCAGGTGAAATCATTCTCGGTACTCTCGCACTTTCCACCGTTCTGGCAAGGATTGGCGGAGCATTCATCTATGTAAATCTGTGAGAAAACAAATTAATTTATCGATTTCGTATTCATATAAAATTTATTACTGTATCCACGTTCGCTCACCTCGCAATTGGCGCCTGTGTAACTGGCTCTACACGTGCAGTCGTATGTCACAGAGTTATCAGGATATTGATGAATCTTACATACTCCCTCGTTCAAGCAAGGCGAAGAACCGCATGGATCCTTAAACTCTTCGCATTTCGATCCTGAAAGAATAAGTCCGCGACGGAGACGAATATCAATTCTACTTGTAACAACAAAATAAGAATTAAGAGCCAAAGAGAAATAGAAGCAGTTAAATATACTCGTCGTTACGATTGAATGTTTTACCCATGAAATATTCGAGACATTCGCAAACAAAACCGCTTTCGTCCTGGAGGCATCGACCTCCATTGAGACACGGATCCGTCCGGCAATCGATTTCCTTGTCGCGCATCGGCGAGCAATCACTGACACTTGTACAGCCCAGTCTCTCTGTCGTCGTATTCGACGGACACGGCAGGCATTCGATTTGTCCGTAATTTGGCTGATAAAACCCGATATCGCACGCGAAACACGGCTCCATGGCTAAGCGCGATCCGTGATAGCGTCTACGCCGCGAATAATATCCTGGTCGGCATACAGCTGCAATGGAAGAAATATATTACAACGTCGAACTCGATGTATTCGACTGTAGTCTTACGAATGCAATCTTTTAAGGACTTCACGTGCATCCTCTTCGTGAAGGTGTGCTCCGGGCAGGATGTGCAATTCAACGACGCAGTCGCATCCTGGTATTGTCCGAACGGACACGGCTGGCAAATTCTGGCGGAGGAATTGTAAAAGGTGCCCGCGAGACACTTCACTAAAGGACATTGAATCAAGATGTATTCACAGCGCGTTACAAAATATACCGATTGAATTGTCCTTTTAAAGGCAGATTCGCGGATATTGATTCGATTCTCGAGGAAATCGTACGATAATTTACACTCACCGCAACCGTGTCTCTTCAGCACGCTCCCGGGATCGCAGAGATCCTGAGGCTCCTTGAACACGAGATGCAGATTCAAGGCGAGCTTTGCGAACTCCTGATTGGTCCTGTTGTTGAGCAAGTCCAGTTTCCCTAAATGCGTCATCGCCTCGATCTTCTCCCTCAACTTTTGTACTCCCCGTTTCGGATTTTCGAAGTTCTCGTCGATTATTCTTCCTAGACGGTTTCCTTGCGCATTAATGAAATTTGAAATTTCACAGAATTAGAATGAAATTCAATTTTTACCTATGAACTTAAATCTAATCTCTATCTTCTCCCTTTTCCGCTTAGGTTTGACTTTATCTTTGTCGGTGCTCGACTTGACAGCACGTTTCAATCTTCCAAGCATTATTTTGTTATCTCCAAAAATATTTGTATCGGATCTTCGTCTTCTTCTTATTAGGTTGTCTTCAAAATTTTTCGATGAAAGTTTACTCTTGCATTCGGGATCGAATTCAATCAGACTGCACTCGATGTCGTTGCCGCAAATATCCAGCATTTTTAATTTCAAGTCGTTAATGATGTGATCGTTTAACTACAAGGAACGACTCCAACACTTAACAAAATAATAATCTATTTACAAATTGTCATTTTTATTAAATATAAGTGCTTACTTCACGAAGAGTAGTTTGATTGTCGCACATTGTACTTGCATTGCCTTCTAATATCATGTTTCCTTCCTGAGATATTATCTTCGGTATCTTTGTTTCTATTGATTGATAAAATTATATAATTATGCGATATTTTCATTGATAATCTTCATAAATTTAGCACAAATACCTGAACATTCCGGCAAATAATTGCTCTCCCATATATGATCGCTGGAATTACATTTTAACAGCAGCTCGTCGTTAACAATATTGAAATTCGCCGGTTCGACTGCAAAATCATAACCATCCTCGCAAGTTGCGATGCATCGCGTTTCGCGATCACTCGTCGAAGAACAGTTCAGCCGACCATTGATGGGCGCTCTTAGAGTCTTACACACGTCTAAGAAAAATTTGAGAACAAGAGTTTTGTGGGATTATTATATTAATATCGTTAAATGCAATCGTCACGTGTATAAAATAAAGAAAGGTATACCTTCTACTGTAATGTTCAGCACACAAGTCGCTCGATTGCCGTACTTATCGGTGGCGTTGTAGAAGACTCTCGCACGGCCAATGGGAAAAATATTCTTGCCAGGTTCGTGACTTTGATTTACTTGCACGGAAATCCTCGAATTGTCGTAGAAGACCGGCTCGTCCCACGTCACGTTGCCGAGACCGCTATCGAGATCGGTATAAAACATCGGTGGGTCGATGCAACTTTCGACCGTCGGTGGCTCCCTGTCTACGACCGTAAAATATTACTCAAAATTTTGAAAAAAAAAATATACAATTGAGTGTTATATTTTTTTAATATAATGCTTGTTGAATGTATTTCCGAGCCTTAACTTACCAAAGACTTTAACTTTAAACTTGCATTTGGCCTTGTTGCCACTCGCATCTTGCGCTATGTACACCACAATACGCGTACCGATTTTCGCTTTCCACGGCAGGACAAGATGCGGCTTCGTCCACAAGATAGGCGACGCGTCCGCGTTGTCCGTCACTTCGGGTATCGTCCAGTTCACGTACGCGTAGTTCTGACTCTTCGCAGTTTCCACGATAATATCGGGCGGGCACTTTATGGAGGGTGGCATTTTATCTGCACATCGCGTTTTGAAAGATATACATTACAACCAGAAATTGCAATTTAACTTGCAAATAATTGAGACTTTTTCAAGTTTAAATTTTCACGCGTAGTATTTAACCTCAGCGCACTGACCTACGCATCGATTGACGCTGTGACGATGGGACCAAATTCCAGTGCGTCCGCTGCACGATCTGCTGGAGGGTCCTTCCAGGACGAAGCCCCTGCCACAGGCGATCGTGCAGTTGGTGGCGAAGGGCACCTTCGCCGTACCGGTGCAGATTAGCGGGGTGATAGCGCCGTTCGTAATTTGCGGCAGGGGTTCGCATTTTACAGCTAGCGCGACATTAATATCTTCATTAATCTCGGCGCGTCGTTACAAAATGCTGAAGTGTGTAACGTTGCTTTACCCGTGCAAGTGACTTTCAGACCGTCCCATCGGGACAAGGGTAGGCAATTGCGCACCTTGCTGCCGCGAAGCTGATAGCCGACGTTGCATTTGAACTGACAGCGGGTGTCGATCGGATAGACGGTGGAGTTCTCCTCAAATTGATGCTGATAATTCTCGTCATGTTGGCACTTCACGCGACCGTGCGCGGGCTCGCGGAGCGCCGGGCACGTTTTCACTGCAATCGGTTTCAGAAAAAATTCACTTCCACTCATTCGTTTATTTAGTGACGAAAGAATTGCAAGTCCTACTTACGTAAGCACTGCGGCTCGTGCCCGGACCAAGTGCCGTCCTTCCCGCAGAGTCGAATGCTGTCGCCGGTAAGATGAAAGCCGATGCGGCATCTTATGCCGCACGCCGCGTGCACCACGTTGCTGCAGGCGTTCGCCTTTACCAGATAGCCGTTCTCGGGGACTTTTAACTTTGGGCACGTTATAGCTGAAAAGATACATCCACTCTATATATTACACTAAAACTAAAAGATATTAATTGCATTTATTTATCAATGTATAAAAGTGTAGTCTTCTTTTTATAAAACAAGGATACGCGCTTTTAATTTAAAAAAAAAACGAACTTCATATATTTTTTACTTGTCACTCTTCCTACAAATGAATCTTTCTACTCGCGAATAATTTCAGAGTTAAATTTGTATTGACAACCGCGAGGAGTCTCAGCATTTTTTCGATTAAAATTTTTCAAGCGTGATTCTCGGCAACATGAGCACGCGTAATCACAAACCTAGAGATTTCGTCGCACTGTTTCGAAATTTGACTGAAGATATGAAGAAATCGCGATTAACGCAAATGAAATGGTTTCAGAAGTACGAGCTGCTGTTGAAGGAATATGAGTGAGTAACGCCGCTTAGAACCATTTAAAAATTCTCTTCATCACATTTGACAATTAAATGCATTGAAGAAAGCTCCATCGCGAAATAACCGAGCTGTACAAGGAGAGAACTGTTGGAGTGAAGGATGATATTGTTGTCGAGCGAGAGAGAACGTGCTTGCCGATACCAATCACAAGCAATGGCGAGGTATGAATTAATTATCGACAAGCCTTGAAATAATATACATTTTTTATCTCCATAATAAAAATTATATATTATATTTATGCGTATTCCATTTCAATTGTTATCTTTACTTGAACCTTACATTAAAATTTGAGCTAATACTGCGCAGTACGGATGGCTCGCGGCGAAGTCTGAATTTCGCTTGGAGAAGTACGGCTCGTGCATCGCGAATTATCCTGATCCTTCCAAGGGCATAATTTTCATTCGGGGAGATGTGCCGAGACTCGCAGCAGGCAAGGGCTTCATTTGAGAATCAAAAATTCTCGACTTTTCGTTATTCCGGAGCCGTTTATTCGAAAGTACGTTGAACTCGATAATCAATCCATATCTTGTAAAATTTTTATACGCGTACGATAATTAATGATTCCTGGTTATATTGAATGCGCGATATTTACCCTCGCATTTGGAACCATCTGTTGTAAATCCGGAAGCGCACACGCAGTCGAGTGCCGAGGTCGCGGGAACTTTGACGGTAACTTGATTCGCATCCGGACAGGGCACGCACACGGCGGTGGAATCTCCGGAAGTGTTTCCGGCAGCGTACGTCCCGTTTGGACAAGCTATCGCAAGCAACAACGAAAATTTATTTCCGGAAACTGTGAATAACTTATAGAAGATTGAATATAACATTTAAAAATTGGATGAAGCAACGTGTACGCATTAAATGTGAATAATCGACAAATGACGAGCGTTTTAAATAAATTTTCGCGACTCGACGGTCGACTCACGTTGACAGAAGCCTTTGAGACCGGAACCGAAGTATCCGGGCGGACAAATGCAGGCGTAATGTCCAGTCGCGGTGCCGCAGGTGCAGGTCGCCAGATTGTCGCAGCAAATCTGATTCGCCGTGCTTTCCGAGCACAGATTGTTGCAATCGGTAGGCAGAGTCACAGGCGTGTACTGTCCGGTTTTCAAATCTGGAAGACATCAAATTTAAACGTTTTTCCGGCTTTGACGGCATTTTTACCCATCTTGCATTCAATTTGAAGAATAAGAATTCGTCTGATTTCTAATTTTAATTTTTTGTAGTTGAAATAAGAAGAATATGTTCTCAATGTGATTTTCGAAGACCTTTCATGCGACAGAACGCTCACCGCGATGCAAAGCGCGACGCGCCAGAGCTTCGAACTCCGCGAAACTGTCGAGGAGGTAGCTGTGCGTGTATCCGGGCGAGCTGGCGATGTCATGCAATTCCTCCACGTTTCCTGTACGAATACCGAATGTGAACACCGTGGCGCCTGTATTTTTCAGAAGATTGGCCGCGGGACGTGGATCGCCGCCGTTGCTGAAGCCGTCGGTTATCAGAAACACCACCTTGTTCGACGTCTCGCGGCCTTTCTCGAGAATCGCCTTGCGAATAACGCACAATTATTAAACAGTTGCAAATTGCCGCCGATAAAAGGGGCGAATATCTCACAATTATAATTCTAACAGCATTCTTCTTACATCTGCAAACTTTGTAGACAAAACATGCAATACTTACCAACGCTTCGAGAAGCGCGCCGCGCGTGTAAGTCCCTCCGCCGCTGTAAGTGATGTTGCTGAACTGCTTGTTCAGCAAATAGCACTTGTGATCGTTCGGCCCGTGTTTGGAAATTTGATCCACATTCCGATGGATGTTACCTCTACCGCCGAAAGTGACGACCGCAACACGTGCGGCTAAGGCGTCCACCGTGTAGTCCGACAGAAGTTTCGTCACGAAGTTCAGCTCGCTGCGGAAATTTTCCGCGCCGACCGAACCGGACGCGTCCACCAGAAACACCAGTTCCACCTGCGAACAAGTCGCCGGTTGAAATGAAGTACGACGAGAGGATGTATTCTTACTTTTCTCTACCTGATCGGTCTTCTTGCGCAAACGGTCTATGTGCATCTTCAGCAAGCGGGACAAGATATCGGCTTTGCTCTTCAGCATTCTGTCAGCATCGTCCAGATGCTCGTACCAGTAGCGTTGACTCCCGTTGGTCTTTTGACCAAAATTTAAGAATGTAGACGTTACATTCGTCTCGTTCATGCCGATCTCTAAGCCGTTCGGGCTTCCATCACCGGCGCACTTGGTAAGATTTAAAAATAGAGAAAGTACTCTGATCGTCAGCAGCAAAACTTTTAAATATTCCATCGCGTCGTGCTTGACGAATCGTCTACGGCAAAATATTGGCATACTTGGACAATGCGTACAAAATGAGAGTTTCGCTGTATTATTATAATTTGCGACTTAGAGAAACGCGCGGCCTACAACGAACATTTCTTCTCCGTTTCTCAACCGGAAGAGAAAAGAGTGTACGTACGCGTCACTTTCACGTTCATCGCTCGCGAGCGGAAAAAAATTGCAGACGTCGCGAGGACGACCGCAGTCGGTTTGTCGTAAATTACCGCCGTGCACTTGATTGCGAAAACACGACTGGGAAGTCGGTTGTGCACGAGGGGGACGAGGCACTACTGCGGCGGACGGTGGAATCGCCTGTAAAAGAGCATAACGCAAAGACGTGAGAACAAGGGACCCTCTGTTCGAATGAGTTTCTCGAAGTGCGCACGTGTCCGTGAACAATCGGCGACTCTCTTCTAAGCTCATTCGATTATATTGCTAGTCTTCCAACAGTCGCAATTCTTATTCTCACAGAAGTGAGCAAATTATTAGCCTCGAACAAAGATTTGATTTCGATTCAACTTTGACCTTCTCTTTTTTTTTATATACTTTTTCTCATTTTAATTCTCATTCGTATTATTTCGTTTTGCAACAGAAACTCTCCAGCCTATTAATTAAGCCAATCGAGATGCGTTCCAGGCATTATCGGGATACGATAATGCGAAGTATTCTCAACCAGATGAACTGTGTGTAGACGCGCAATTTGGCCGCGTTGAATTTGTTGCGCTTGACGCGAGATATGACCGTGTCTCTTTGATACCGCGGAGATACGAAGCCACCGAAGCAATCGTCGCGATAATTAACTCACTCGGATGTTTTCATCGGTCTAGGCGACCTCTCCTATCGTCACGCGCGTGGAAGGGTGTCATGTTTGTGTCACGGATGGAAGGGATGTTCCACGGTAGCGACGTACAGTGTCAGGAAAACACCAGTTTTCGCGTGACCCGCATACATGTCGTGTCGCGTGGGTCAACTTTTGAGCTTCGACCTGAGCGAGGCGTGCGCATTAATTTACAAGTAATTTACAAACAATATATGATAGAAACCGTAATACAAGCTTGTTAATATTTTTAACGCATTCGGATAAATTATTTAAGCTCAATTGCGATCTGATTTCATCCGCGGAATTATGGTCTTGCTTCGACAAGGTCGAATTATGATTCGTTAAAATTATTACTGCGTGCGAATAAAAGTGCGCACCAGTCATGTTAGTCGCAAGGGTGTTCCTAGCGGCTGTGCTCCTCCGCGCGACTTTCACGTCGGAAGAGAAGAATCACTCGCATCTCTCGCGCGTACTTCGACTGAGTGACGAGGAGGAGCCGGAGTACTTTGTTCAGTGTAGTTTGGTGAATATATGGAAAGAGCAACTCGGTCGTGTGAGCGTTCTGGCTTTCCTGGATCCCGCCTGGCTGTACAGCTACAGACAAGCCGTCATGTAAGTTACGAAATTGCAATACGCACCGCAGCCACGACACTCTCGTTTCGTTAATCGACCAGGCTGCAGTTATTGAGCTCGCGCTTGCGGAAATCCGGTTTCCCGGATATCCGATTTTTCGTGATAACGCCGCCGCCCGATCTGATGGAGGACAAAAGCGAGAACGAGATCGAGATAGAGGCATGGCGGGATATTGCGGCGATGTCTGAAACAAGGCACATCGTGAATGCCAAGGATCAGTTGCTCAAGGACGACGGGCCTGAAATGATCAACCTTCAGGATGGTCCGCGTTTCCGCATGTGGGAGAGGTTCCGCGCGTCGAAGGATCAAGTGGTAGTCATTGATCGGTGAGGAAGCGAAAGCTTATTCTTTTCATCCTTGCTGCATATATTCAATTTCGTTCATTCGAGCACCGAAGATTTTCCTAAATTATTTTTAAAAGATTATTAACTTGAATTAAATGAGTGTTCGAGAAACTTAATTATTTGAGAATAGATTAGGATATCTTGGTAAATTTTGATATAATAAATACTGAAAGTGAAAGATTACCTTACTGCAATGGTTTTAGTTGCGGGAAATTAACGTACCAGGTGATAGTGCCGTGGAGTATTTTATATTTCCCTTACGTGAAAGCAGCTATACTGTCTACATATCAGGAAGACCCGTGCGGCGGATGTGATGTAAATTTATTTTTAATATACCTACTCATTTATAACAATGACGCTGTAATGCGGAGAAGTAGCTTCGAAATACAAATGCTTACCGCTTTGGAATAATTTCAGCCCGCTGCGCATCGATCTCAGGATGATAAAGAGTATTCTTTAAATCTGACAAACAACGCTGCTAAAGAAACAGACTCGCGCGAAACAGGCGATGTCAGCACTCCAGTCTGGACCACCACCGAGCGTTTGGAGAAGTTCACTGCACAACTTAATGAATCATTAGAGGAGGATCGCGAAGCGACCATTGCATCTTCTATTATCATCGATGAAGTAACGGATATCGATCGTTCTGACCATTTAACTGAATCGTCGGTGAAGTACGAAGCTATTTGTCAATATGATAACGGTGCGACTAATCCGGATACGGAAGAAACTCAAAATCAAGAGCAGTCGATCAGTTGGACTCGAGATGATAGTACCATCTCCAGTGAAACAGCTGCGACCTTTGACCTACAGGAGGAATCTCCATATACGCCGATATCGATAGAGGATAATACTGTCACTGCGAGTTACGCGGATACGAAGGATCGTACTTTATTGTTGGACGAACCGATTGATAGGATCGATGAGATTAAAACGAGTTTGTCGCCTATTCCGGAAACAACGATCTCAGATGCTGAAGTTAGCGACGAGGCTCGAGATAACGGTAGAATTGCAAATATTAGCTTTATGCAGGAAGAACTTTTTTCTTTAAAATTATTATTTGATACCTATATTGCTTGTGGTATGAAAAAATTAATTATATAAGCTCTAGTAAAATATAAATTAATACTAAAGTGAGTTATGAGATCAAGTGCTTTGTGTTCAAGCTAGTGTTTTCTTTATATACATATATTGACTCTTTCTTTTCATATATCTTTTCTTTGTATATATTGACATACGTTTTGGTCCACGAATTTGACCTTCTTGGTCATAATATTGACAATCGTTATGTTATAGGTGAAAGAACCACGCTGAAGGAGAACGCGCCACCGTTGCATATAATTATGCACGCACCACATGTACATAGGAACGGAAAGAAAACGAAAAAACACACGTACTTGATTCTGAAGACCAACGATCCCGAGTTTCACGGACATCTTGACTCTGAAATCGACGTTATACCGCCATCGAATTTACAATGGGTATTAATTAATATTTATCTGTTTTTCATTAATGTAATGCTAATTTATTTATGTCTAAAGTAATTTAATTTACTCACTAAATATGCTTCAGTACTTTTTTATTATATATCAGACTAAAAATAATGATAATTTATCGCATTTTCTTTTTCAATATCATTTTTGTCAATATCATTCTATATATTTGATACTAAACTTTCTTGCAAATTTTAAGGACGCTGATTTTCAAGCAAATACCGAAGAATATAACTGGGAAGCAATTAAAGTAGACACAGAAGAAAAAGACGCCGGACATCAGAAATATATATTTGACAAGGATGAAAGTCCGGGATTGTTTGGGGAAGTAGCAGATTATTGGAAAAGTTATGAAGATAGCGATATCATTGATAGGAATGAAACAATCAATGATAATACTACGGTACGATGTCTAATAAGCTTATATTTCATGTATTTGCTTTATATATTTGTTATAATTGCTATAGTGTAACATTATTGGAGTTGTGATACATTTATAATTGCATATTGATTAACTAAATTGTTACCATTAATGATAACATTAAAAATTTTTAGATTACCTATAAAGAAGAGCATCATGCTAATATTAGCGACCACACGATAAAACTTTCAAAGTCGTCAGAAATAGATGAGAGCTACCCAATTGCAAATCTTACAGGTGACACAAGTATTAAGAATTCTACAAACTCGCAGAATATCGTTGAATTAGAGAAGACTGGTTCTTCTAAACCTAATATTGTAAATAATCAGGCTGAAAGAGAAGAAGGACAAATTAATTTAATAGAACATTATAGTAAACTTCTATCTTGGATTGATTACAGATTAAATAAATAAAGCAGTAAATTTATTTAAAAATTTTGTTTTATCAACGTCGATTATTTTATTACATTCAGTGTATTACATGTCAACTTTAGGATAGTCTTAATTAATTTACACATTTTAGTTAGAGCAGTTACATTTAAAATATTATAGAATTTGTAACAAAGATAAGTTGCATATGCACAAAATGATGGAGATAAATAAGTATAGTATAAAATTATGTATTTGACAATATTAATGTTTTAAAATCAATATAAGAGAAATCCATAAGGATAATATTGATATTAAATATACTCTTAATTTCTAGGATAACAAATATATACTTTACAAATATAAGTACATATCAAAGGCATTAGGTTTCCCACTTATTCAGGATCACTTAAGTCATCGGAATCAAGGGTGCTGGTACTGCTGGTAGTAGTGGTGCTTGATGTAGTACTGCTTTCAGTTTCTGAATCACTACTATCAGTTGAACTTGAACCGCTTGATAACCTACATTCAGATATAAAATAATTTGTATGAGAGAATAAGAAAGTAAGAAATAGTCAGAGTTAAATAGTCAATTTTATAAAATCTCAAAATGCCATAAATTCATACGCAATCTACGATTATTAGGCCAAAACGGTTATTGTTATAACTACTAGTATCAAAATATTCGATTATCTAAATCTGAATATTACCTGGATTCGAAAATTTTTATCTGATTGTTAAAATATGTGAATTTTCAAAAATTACTAATGATTTGGATAATAAATAGATACAAGACCAATTTGAATTATCAGTACATATTATGTATATATAGTAAGGATAATGTAAGTTAAATTAAAATATGATAGATTTTAAAATAGAGAAAAAGAAATCAAGAGTAATAGATATATAAGCACAATAAAGCTAAATACTTGAAAATACTTATAAACACTTCAAAAATTATTTTTTGTTAACATAGTATACATTCTTTGGTTTTTAAGACAAAATTATACAAAACAGGATAGAATATTGTCATGAGAAAACTTGGTCAGAAAAGATATAAAACAGAATTCTCAACTCACCTTTTTTTTTCAATATTGGTTAGAGATAATTCGTCAATCTGTTGAGCTATTTCGTTAACAGCTATTTTATGATTGTTTTCTATAACAAGTCCTTCTTCTTCTTCTTGAACAGAATAAGCTGCTGTTTCCAACTCAACTAGCTCTAATCCCAGACTTGCTTTGTTTGGAGGAGTTTTCTATGTAAAATAAAGACAAAAACCAAGAAATGTAAAAGAAACATTAAATAAGTCTATATGTAAAAAATATAATTTTTTAAACTTACGTCATTTAAAATAGAATGAAATGAATCTATCAAGGATTTAGGAGATTTTTGCAACCAAATCAAAAAATGTTTTATGTACAATTCATTTAATATATACCGTGGTTCATATGAGTTATTGAAAAGTTCGTATATTTCACAGAAGCGTTTAATAATATACTTCTTTCCTGTAAAAAATTCAAATGTTTTAAGTCAATAAAAGCTCGCTAGTAGATATTAATGTTTCAATTTATACTGACCTAATGCAAAGACTTTTTTAACATCTTCGAAAATTTTCACAGAAAGTTCCCAACTTCTAAAAAGTGGGTAACAAAGTGATCTTCGGAAGCATGCTGTTATAACCTCATCAATAGATGTAAAAGTCTAAAAATATTTGATAAATTATAATTGGTTCATTTACACAAACTCCTTATATAAAAAACTTTTTAAAAAACTTTACTAGTTTTTACATAACATACTAAGCATACCTGGAACCAAGATAACGTAGAACTTAATTTGTTTATTGTCCAACTACTTTCCACAGTATTTTCTCCTAATGTTGTTCGATGATTATAACAACTGGCAAATAAAATATCAAAAAGATTCAAACATAATTTTTGGTCCTCGGCAGCATCTAACAAATATTCTTTGTTTGGAAGTTCCTTCAACAGGTCAACTTCAGATCTATTAAATGCAATGTCAACTTTTTGCAGTGTGTCCCATTCTGCTGTATATGTCAAACATGATTCAAACTCTGGCTGCATGAGATCAGCCATATAATGTTGTTCGCTAAAGTCTTCCTTTTCACGCTTGTCCTGTAAACTTTTTCTTTCTACTTCTGGAGTTGTATCAGGATTGAGAAGATCTATTATATCTTTGATCCATGCGGCCTAAAATAATTCGACAAATTACAAATTAATTTAATGTATATACAGGAGAGTTTAATATTAAACATTACAAAAAGACAGAATATTACAAGGTGTACCTCATAAGGAACTAAAACTCCTGACACCTTGTTTGCAAAACCATACTTTGAATAATTTGTGATCATTATTTTATTTTCTGTAGGATTGTTCTGAGGCAAAGGCAAAATGTTATCAGGATTATTATCTAAGATGTTATTGTCATTCAAACTTTCATCTATATCTGCTGTACTTGCAGAAGGATTACCTAAAGTTCGAAAAAATATATGTTTTAACATAATACTATACACACATATTATGTTTTTATATTATATAATACAACACTTACCAATTACTTCAATATTAGAAACAATGTTAGTTTTCTTTTTTGATGGTGCTAAAAAAATGCTTATCATATCTAAGTTTTCAAAGTGCTCTCCTTCTTTGACCTTCGAAAAGTTTAAAGTAAATTCACCCTTCTCACAAACATAAGAACCGGTAGATGAATCATTTTCCACTATTTCACCCGGTAGCTGTAATCTGCAAAAATCATTTAATTTATCTGATGCATTAAGAAATTATTCAATAATAAGATTCCATGACAATTTACCTGAGAAAATATGGACTAGCAGAAAATATGAAATCCGTTTTATCCACATGTATTTCTGTATTTTTTACTTTGGCGAATGGAGCATGTATGGTTATCGTAACTGTCGTATCAGTTTGTGTGATATTGAAACGCGGAATCAACATTTTAAGGTGCTTCTGAATCGTTACGAAATTATTTATATTTAGTTCACCTTATACAATAAATGCATGTATGTTGGAATAAACATCAAATACAATCAACAAAAAGAGTTACCGCATTTATTTAATGTACATATAGCACCCGATACACACACACACACCCAGTAAAATTTCAGTTTATTTAATTTTAATATTATTAATTAGTTAGCACATAAATAAACAATTGTTGATGCTAGTCGACGCTACTACGCCACGTGAGAAAACGAAAAGTGAAATGGGTAAAATCTGGTAAATTTTCGTGACTATTAAAAGGGCATATAGGGGCCTGGAGATAATAAAATGCGAATACCAACTAGTGATATTACCAACTATTTTGCCCACATTATTATCGATCATTATATCGATATAAATCGATATCAAAATTGATCGATAATGATAAAATACAAATATAAATCATATAAATATTTAGGTGTAAAATCAATTATATATTAAAAATCAAGAACTGGGTGTTTGTCGCTTGTTACAATCTTCTTTATTATTATATAAACGTTTCGGTCAGTCTTCGCGGCGTATTGTAACGTCCGCAATACAATTGACACAGTTAACGCCCAGATAGCACAAAGAATTCGAAAAGAATTCTTTTTTGGTCCCCGATTTACAAAATGAATTCTTTTTCCATCCCATTTCTGTTCAAAAAGTATTCTTCAGCATTCCAAAAGACTTCACTTTTATGTCATCATTTGTGAGTTCTTTTTCAGATTCGAAAAGGAATCCTTTTCGAGTCCATAAGAATTCGCAATAAATTTAAAATAATTTTTAAATAGTACTCCAATAGAACTTTAATAGAACTTTATTATTATTTGTTTTACGTACTTTCTGGGACCCGAATATGGGATAAATCAGGATTATTGAAATGCTCTAAATGCACAGAAAAAAATATAAATTAAAATATATTTTGTGATAAAAATAACAAAAAGTATTTTATTGAATAATAAAGTATTGTTATACAGAATATTAAATAATAAAGAAGTAGTTAATTATTATATTTTTATATTTTTATATACTTATTATATTATTATTATATTTTTATATTTTTATATACTTTTATATACCTATATATTTTTATATGCTATTATATATTATTAATTTCAAAAAAATACATAATTGTAAGGGAATTGGTGGAGGGTTTCCCAATTAATAAAAATAAAATAAAAATAAAATAATAACGTCAGAATAAATATATTAATACAAGAGAGTGTAGGTACAATTGATTACAACCGATCTGTTTCGTGGTAAACGACTCTCTGTTCTTCTCTGGCAATTCACGTGAGCTCTCGCTCACTCGTCTTGCCGATCAACGGCCGCCGATGCCCGGACGCCTCTTGACGTCGTGTTTTGGTCGATCGCTATTGTCTCGATCATCGCCACGAAAACACAACTCTCCTATACTTATTAGATTATGTTCTTACACTATATTCCTACATATTATCTTCCTACAATATTGAGATTTGATTACTCTGGTCAAAAAATAAATACTGAAAAATAAAATACTTATTAACTCATCGACAATAAGTTGAGAAATTAGGGTATTTTTTAATTGAAGAGTTTTCTTCTGACCAGACCAGGAATACTGCACAGCGAGCTTCCGACATTAAAAAACGCAATATGGCTCTAGTAAATTTGCCTGAATCAGATCCTCCGATCATTTTTATCTCGCGAATCTATGAAAATATATGTGAATACATCATAAGACTTGCTATTATAAAATATAACAAATAATCTTACATATTGTTTTTGTATTTCGGAGGACTCAACAAAATTCATACCAAAAAAGAATTCTTTTCGAATTCTCTGTGCTATCTGGGACGGCAATGAAAAATGATAACGGCGAGAGCATGAGTAACACGTGCTGTTATTTTTCGCTCACTTTGGATATTAACCTTCTCAAATCATTCCATTAAAAAGAGAAGGTCGATATTGTCTGAAGGTAAAAGCAATTTCATACTTTACGCTTCAAATATGGTTATTATTGAATTAATTAATATTAAATTTTGTATTGTTTTTTTAATTACTATCTTTTTAATTACTTTTTAATTACTATCTCAATTATTATTGCGAAAATTGCAAAACAGTAAAGAACTTTTTTATTCAATTTACCGCACTCTACCCGCACACGAGCATTGGCACGGACATTATAAAAGACCCTGTATACGCGCTTCAACGCGAGCACAGAAATCGAAACGTTAAATCGAGAAGTCCTAAATATACGCTCGGTTATAGAAATGCCCGAATTATTGAATGAGCTTAAATAAATGTGAATTTTACAAGTTACTAATTCTAATTAAAACAACAAGCAAAGAGCAAATTAACGATAATATATTAGAATTACAAACAGAATGAAGGATTTTGTTTAGTTAATTCTAAACATGATTATTTTTTGTGAAAGATATATAAATAAATAAATAAATATAGAACTAACATATTTTTATCACTACTTTTAAAAATTAAACCAGAATGGTACTTCCGGTAAATCGCAGCCGGTACTTCCAATTTGATGGATGCAGAAAAACCGGTTTATAAGATCCAAGGACTAATGCTGCAGGGCTTTTACCAATGCAGTATGTATACTCGTACAGTAAACCTAACCAATTTTGTTTATAAATTATATGTATATTGGATTTTATCAGTGATATAATATTTTTTTATTGTTTATATATTTAAAAGATAATACAATATTTAAAATAATTTTAAAAAATCATTATAAGTGATCAAAGTGAAAGTAAGCTTCAACGGATTTTTTTCTGGAATCTCTTAAACTCTTAAAGTTGAACTAAAAGCCAACAGTTGTATCCGAAATACCGAACAAGGAAGACATGTATTTCAAACTCTTAAAAACTTTACTGCCGTTAAAGTTTTAAATTGTATTAGTCGAATTTTTTACATTCTTTACAATATCATGAAGTGATGAGTGATAATAACATCTATTATTTGACAATTTTTTTTTTTGTGCTCACGTATACAAGTGCATAGCAATAATAACAAAGTAAAGAATTGTTGAGTGAAAGAATCGTCTGATACAACATTTAATAGTAAACACGTAAATTAAATTTATTAACATTTAACATTTAACATCAATATTTAAATTTATTAACATTGACGTAAGTCAACTTAATATAAATATGTTTTTTATATCAATCTTTTTTACTTGGCCTAATATTTAAAGTAAATTTTTGCTGAGTGTGAAATTTGTACAGAATCAAGTTATACCTGTTCTCCATCGCCTTCAGTTTTATTTAATTTTTTGTTTAGTACTCGAAGCTCTCGAGAGCGAATCAGCGCATAGACATACAAGATGTCGAACTTGGTGCGTCTTTTAAGCATCATTGCCGTGATCATCCCGTTTGAGTCGGAAGGATTATTCTGGAATTTACCTAATTATTTCGAGTTAAGCGCTGGGCTTATAAGGTTTCTGCACGATGGTCAAAGAGATTATGAGGAGAAAATCCAGGATACGACTCCGCACTTCGGAGCTGCATACGATTTTGTGATCGTCGGTGCCGGTACAGCCGGCGCCGCAATAGCAGCGAGATTAACCGAAATTCCCGACGTCAAAGTGCTGTTGATAGAAGCCGGATCTCGTGAAAATCTCGTCATGGATATTCCGCTGCTCGCTTACATGTTGCAGATGAGTGACCTTGTGAACTGGAAATATCAAACTAAGCCATCGAACAAATATTGTCTCGGCTCAACGGAGGGTAAATGCAATTTTCCGAGAGGCAAAGGGATGGGTGGCAGCAGTTCGATAAACTACATGCTCGCTACCAGAGGCACTAGCGCGGATTACGATCGTTGGGCCGAAATGGGAAACAACGGCTGGGCATACAAAGACGTTCTCAAGTACTTTAAGAAATTGGAAAACATGAGAATTCCGGAGTTGCGATCCGACACCGTCGCTCACGGAACCGGGGGACCGGTGGATGTCACTTATCCGTCATTCCGTACGAAGCTCGCGGACGCTTTTGTGCAAGCCGGCATAGAGCTGGGATATCCGGAGGTGGATTACAACGCGAAAGAGACGATAGGCTTTGCACATTTTCAGGCCACGATAAAAAACGGCAGTCGCATGAGCAGCAACAAAGCGTACTTGTACCCGGCGCGCGATCGCAGAAATCTTCACGTAACGCAAGAGAGCTTGGTGAGAAGAGTGCTGATCGATCATCGCAAGAATCGAGCGGTCGGTGTGGAGTTCACGAAACAAGGACGGACCATTTCTGTGTTCGCGAAGAAGGAAGTAATTCTGTGCGCGGGTCCTATTGCAACGCCTCAGTTGTTGATGCTGTCCGGCATCGGACCGGCCGAGCACCTTGCTAAATTCGGCATATCCGTCGTCCGCGATATACCCGGGGTCGGCGAGAATCTGATGGACCACGTAGGTCTCGGTAATTTTGTATTTTCAGTGAACGGGCCCTTCAGCATACAATTGGAGAATATAATAAATCCCAACAATCCGTATTTAGTAGATTATATGAACAGACGAACAGGGCCACTGGTGGTGGGAGGCGGTTGCGAGGCGATCGCTTTCGTCAACACCGAGCATCCGGAAAAACGTAGCGGTCTACCAAATATTGAGCTGCTGTTTCTCGGTTCTGCAATTAAAGGAGATCCCATTCATACGGTAACATTCAATATGAATACCGAAATGACTCGATTTTGGAACAAACACAAGAATTACTATGGTTGGAGTGTGGTTCCCTTGCTATTAAAACCGAAGAGTCGCGGACGAATAAGATTATTGGCTAACGATATTAATGTTAAACCTGAGATAATACCGAATTATTTTGAACATGCAGAGGACATTGACACTTTAATCTCTGGCATTAGATTTCTGTTTAACGTCAGTCAGACAAAAGCGATGAAAGCGTACGGTTCATATTTCTTGAACGACACCGCTCCTGGATGTGAACACTATGAATATGACACCCGTGATTATTGGGAATGTAGTTTAAGGGTAATGACAACCACGATTTATCATTACTGTTGCACTTCCAAAATGGGACCAGAAAGCGATCCGACCGCTGTTGTTGATCCTACATTAAAGGTATTATTGGTAACGAAAAAATCGAAAACCTTGCAATTATAAAAGAATCTTATGCTACTTGGAGAAATCAGATATAATTCTTTGAGAATTTATCGAAAAACATTTCGAGGATTTTGATTTAATTTTTTTTTTATGTAATAAACAAATTTATTTTCAATTTTTATATAAAAAATGATTAATGTCCGTTTGAAAAATTGATATAATTTTTATATAAAACAAATTTTATATCCTATTATAAGTCTATTATACGTATAAATATTTTACAGGTAATTGGTGTTCGTGGATTAAGAGTAGCTGATTCATCAATTATGCCCGACATTGTATCAGCGCATTTAAATCTACCCACGTTTATGATTGCCGAGAAAGCGGCAGATATGATTAAAACAGAATGGGGATACTTAAAAAAATAATTGTAGCATATCGTGTGATATAAATAGTTGTAGTAATATTTTGCATGCGTTTATATTGAAAATGTAGATCATAAATGTAATGAGTATACTAACTGATTACACAAATAGTGAGTGTAAAACAAAATTTTATACATTTTCTTTTGACTAACACATTGTCATCATATTTAACATTGTCAACATATTTAACACAAATTTTATGCACTATAACATAATATAACATTATTATAACAAAATTAACTTAGAATTAACTTTGTACGTTTAGAAAATACAACTTGAATTACAATTTATTGTATCGGATTGCAGTTTTTCTTTCCTTTTCATAATATCTTGATTATAAAACAAAAATTTTATAGTATTTTTGTTACAAAAATTAATTCTTAATTAAATAAAGTTTATTATTTTCTTATTAAAATTTATATTAAAAAATTATAATATTTGAAGAAAAAATATGTAATAATATAAAGCAGTGCTCGGAATTATTTCAACATTTTAGCTGACTTTCGCGCTTGACGCCTCCTTTCCTCTCCTAACCGCGTGCGCCGCCAAGTGTTCGGCTTCGAGTATACGGGCGATTTTTACGATTTGCGTTAAGGGGGAAGGCCAACTATATAGACTTGCCTAAAATCCTGTTAAAATAATATTTTATTCATAAAAATATAGACTTGCCTAAAATCCTGTTAAAATAATATTTTATTCATAAAAAAATATTAATACCATTTTCGAGATATTCAAATTATTATATGTAGTATCGTTTCGTTAAACCGGTTAGTATAACCCAATTTAAAAAATTTTGATTTGGGTATTTTTCCCGTTTTTAGTATGTTTCGATCCGCATACTTATGTGAATGCTCATTTTCTAAAATAAAAAATATAAAAACAAAAAATCATTCTTCTTTAAATAATGCGACATTATCTGCACTGATGCGAATCAGTTCATCAAGTATCGACATAGATATTGCATCGCTCGTAAAAGGCCAAGAAAATCTAATTAAGAGTATCTGATCTTTTTGTTTGTCTTTTTAATTTAATATCTAATCTTTTATTTTTTTAATTAAAAATTCATTACTTTTTTCTTCAGTGGAATGGTCCTTTTGGGGAGACCACTCTAAAAACAAACGCGTCAGCAATAGTACCTCATGGATGACGTGGAAATCTATTGAAATATTTCCACATTTAAATTACAATTTAAATTTAAAAATAAAAATGTTATTTTTAATAAATTTGTTTTAATTTTTATAATCAAGGGAGAAGAAGTCAATCATTAGTTGGATAGTGCCGCTCGGCCGACGCTGGTCCTAGCGGCTGCGGCGCGTGCGATGAGGAGAGAAAGAAGGCGTCTACCGTGAGAGTCAGCTGAAATATTGAAATAATTCCAAGGACTGCTATAAAAAATTATACATTAAAAATATGTTAAAATCCTTATTTTATTATGCAGATATGTTAGCGTTATTTAATTGTGGCACGATGTGCCGCTAATATATACCGCCAATTTTAATTTGAATATCATGTTTTGGTTATAAAATCTATAATTAACCCAGCAAACACCAAGTTACAGTTATATAATTGTTAGTTGTAATTTCCCACTCAACAATATAACTGTTATATAATACACGTGTTATATAACAATTATATTATTGAGTGGGAAATTACAACTAACAATTATATAAC